GCAGAGGAGGGGAAAGACAAGTCCCCAGAGAAGTGGGAACGGCTAACGGCCCTCCGAGAAGATACTGCCTTTCCGTGGCAGGCAGAGAAAAGCCCGGGAACCCACGAGGCCTGCCGGTGCCCTGAGAAGGGACCCGGGGGCCGGGGAGGTGGGGGGGCGGGCGGAGGCAGGCGGGGGCGTGGCCGCTCTCTGTGACGAAGGCCCCACGTGACCGGCCGGCGCCGACTCGCACGCCCCTCGCTATAGCCTCAGAGCTGACCGTCACTCGCTCGCTGTCGGTCCGTGTTCCCGGTGGCCCTGAGGGAGTGCGGGCCGGGGGAGGACCCCAAGAGTAGGAGGCGGAGAGGCAGCAGGTAAGGGACCTGGAGGGGGTCCCCGGGAAGGGTCTCCGGAGGTGGCGCGGGCGAACGGACGCGGCTCGCGGACCCTCCCCCGGGGTCCGGCTGCCCCGGGGCGGAGACCGCAGCCCCCACGGCCCCGGCGGCCTGGCGTTCGGCCGCAGAAAACCGTAGGCCTGCCCGGGGGTGGGGGCGGGCTGGACGGCCCTGCGGCGGCGACCCCTCGCGAACACCTGCCTCCCGCTGCACCGCGAGCCTTGCCGACACCCCCGCCCCGCCCCCGTTCTTCTCGGTGGGGAAAATGGTGTTCGGAGTCGGGGTTGGGGGTGGCCGAGGGTGGGGGCGCGGGCGGCCCGGGTTGGGGGCGCACGGCCGGGAGGGGGCCGAGCTCCCGGCTGCGGCAGCCCCCTGCCCTACCCCCCGACCCCGGCCCTCTGCAGGTCTGCGGGTCTAAGTGTCGCGGCGGCGCACTCGTGGCGAGCATCGGGAGAAGCAGGAGACAGCAAGGATAGGCCCAGGTCGGTGCGGGGGACAGCGGGGGAAGGAGGGGGTAGGCAACGGGTGGAAAACCCCGAGACCCCAAATGCTGCCCCCACCCAACCCCGTCCTCCATTTTGGTGCCTGCAGAGGCCTGGGCATGGATCGGCAGGGAAAATGGTGGGTTTTGGGTGAGGGAGGGGGGAGAGCTCGGACTGTCGGCCCCCTACCGGGCGTAGGGAGCCTCTCAGGTGGGAAAATGAAAATTTGAAAAGCCGTTGACATCCGGGGCTCCTTATCTTGAGAAGTGCGTAGTAGGGCCTCTGTCCTCGGTGCTGATCGGTCCACCAAGAAAATAGTCCCTTCTCTTGTCTGTTGTCTCCTAGGAGCGATGGCGTCC